GTGTCGTTTTCACACCTCAAGTGTGCTAGCATACTTTTGCCCGTCCACATATGTTTATCGTCCTTTCGGGGCGGCTCCACGGTCGTTGCACCTCTGCGCTGCTTTAAAAGAGTCTTCTCCAAATGACATTCAAACAAGCATAGAGAAAGACGGCCTCACAGCAGCATGAAACTGATTTAAAAATACAAATGCAGATTCGACCAGTAACTCCCAGAGGGAATTCAGGGAGAGAGCTTTCCTCTGCTCAGGCCTCCCCTTCAGACGTCAGAGCTCCAGGCTGCCTCCAAACTCACTGATCGAACGCGGTATTCTGGCTCATGCTGAATCCCTTTGGACAACCCCACTCGTTGTCCCACCCTGTGTCAGAGGGATCTTTCTGGGATACCGTGCGGAGGGGGATTCTCTTGGGAGACCAGCTGTGCCCCAGCTCTGCAAAACTGACTCACTTTCTGCTTCTCCCTTTCCTCCTTCAGTTTTGTCTCCAATATTGTTGACTTCTACTATTCAAGCGACGAATCTGTGCAGAAAGATCATGAACTACAGGGCTGGATAAAAGACATCTTTACGGAAGGTTTCTTGAGTCGAACGTCTTCTGGTAAATGTCCTCTCTCCCCTCCATGGATGGGATCCCCCACAGCTAAGCATGCAACCCTTGTTTACAGAACGAACCACATCGTGCCGTTCAACGCTCTTTCATGCTCTTCAGTGAACCCACTCACACAGATGTTCAAGGCACATTTTGGGTTGCTGTCCAAGCTCCATAGCTGGCAGACACTGATCAACAGAGAGATCTTGGAGTTGTAGCAGATAACTCACTGAAAATGTCGAGACAGTGTGTGACTGCAATAAAGAAGGCCAATGCTATGCTGGGGATTATTAGGAAGGGTATTGAAAACAGATCAGCCAATATCATAATGCCCCTATATAAATCAATGGTGCGACCTCATTTGGAATACTGTGTGCAGTTCTGGTCACCACACCTTAAAAAGGATATTATAGCTTTGGGAAAAGTGCAGAAAAGAGCAACTCGAATGATAAAAGGGTTGGAACACTTTCCCTATGAGGAAAGGTTAAAGCGCTTAGGGCTCTTTAGCTTGGAGGAATGACGGCTGAGGGGTGACATGATTGAGGTTTATAAGATTATGCATGGGATAGAGCAGGTAGAGAAAGAGGTACTTTTCTCCCTTTCTCACAATACAAGAACTCATGGGCACTCCATGAAAAATTGCTGAGCGGACGGGTTAGAACGGATAAAAGGAAGTACTTCTTCACCAAAAGAGTGATTAACGCATGGAATTCACTGCCACAGGAAGTGGTGGCGGCTACAAGCATGGACGGCTTCAAAAGGGAATTAGATAAGCATATGGAGCAGAGGTCCATCAGTGGCTATTAGCCACAAGGTATAGATAGGGACTCTGGGGCAAGTGATGCTCTGTCATCTTGGTGCTTGGGGGGGGGGTCAACAGTGGGAGGGCTTCTAGTGTCCTGGCCCCACTGCTGGACCCTCCTGATGGCCCCTGGTATTTCTGGCCACTGTGTGACACAGAGTGTTGGACTGGATGGGCCTTTGGCCTGATCCAACATTGGCGTCTCTTGTGTTCTTATGTTTAAAATAGAAAGAAATACATATCTCAAAGTAGTTGTGGGACAGGACTCAGAAACCTCGGAGTGCATTTCACTTTCAGGACTTCTATTTTTCTCCCCTATGTAAGTTTTGTCAGAGTCTAGATTGCCAGCTCTTCAGTGCAAGGCCTTGTGTGCTTGTTTTTTGTAACATACCACCCATCCCAAAAACACTGTATGAATCGAAACAACCCATGTCCTGCTCTTTCAAAGGTGATCCATGCCACCATGGGAATTGAGTTTTTCTTAACTGTGAGCTTCAGTTTTTCTTAACTTCAACTATATTGAAAATCTGCCGGGTGAGATGTGTAGGCTTGCAGCAAACTTGCCCGTGTAGAAAACATTTACCACATTATTACCTGCCTCAGATCTAATTTTCTTCCGTTCATAGGAATCCCATCCTCATTCGATATGGTGACGGAGCTCAAGAAGTTCCTGACAATGGTGATATTTACCGTTTCTGCTCAGCACGCTGCTGTCAATAATGGTCAGGTAGGAGCAAATCTTCACTTGTTCCTACTGGATAACTCTTCATTGTCTTTGCATGGACCCTTTCTTCCACTACAGGGGGCAACCTTTGATTTCAGACTACCATACAGTGAACCAAAAATATCACTTTCAGGAGGACTAACATCTTCCCCTCAACTTCCCCTCAATAATACGTTTGCCTTTCTCATTGTTGTTTCACGTCGTCTACTCACCCCTGCAGCTACTGATTTTTGAAGCTGGTCCCCCCCTTTTGTGGGAGATATCAGCCAATCAGAGATCATGTAGAGTATAAAATGATGTGTACCTGATACAATCTGGCTCTGTGATAATGCTGCTAGAGACAAGCACAGGCAGTTGAGAGTGAGGGCAATGCTTGCTGGGTCAGACCTGTCATCAGTAAGAATTGACTTTGTTTTCCCTCGATGATGCCATCCTACAGGACAATCTTCTTGAGTCAATATTCTTTTCACTCTGAACAGGCTTACTCTTTTACAATTTATCACAACCTCTCCTTCCCTGCAAATCACAAGGAGATACGTCTGCTTTTTAACTGATTTCAGATCTTGTCAGATCTCAGGCGCTAAACAGAGTTGGTACTTGGATTGGAGACCACCAAGGAAGGCTACCTTTGCTTCTCACTTGCCTTCAAAACTGTTTGTTGGGGCAGCCATAGGTCAGTTGTAGCTTGATGTCACTAGTATATATGTAAATTTGGGAACAATTAGGATATTAATCACAGGTGGTCGGCCCCAATTTATGGGATGTGGGTACCTATTAGGGCTGTTATTTATTTGGCTACAAGCCCAGGTGGACCCCTTAATGTAGGAACACAATTCAAAGATAATAAATAGTGTTATGTTAGTTTTCCATATCTATACTAAATAAGCACGAATCTATAAATATGTATAGACTCACTGGAGAAGACCCTGATGCTGGGAAAGATTGAAGGTCAAAGAAGACGGGGACGGCAAAGGATGAGATGGTTAGAAAGTGTCATGGATGCAACGAACATGAAATTGAGTCAACTTCAGAGGACGGCGGAAGACAGGAGGGCCTGGAGGGAGATGGTCCATGGGGTCGCGAAGAGTCGGACTCGACTGTGCGACTGAACAACATAGTTACAGAATTCTGAATGGGAAAATATTTTGAATTATGTGTTTAGAAAGAAAAATTCCTTGTGGCTCTTTATTTACATGGGTGAGAGGGGGGTTACCACAGACTGGGGAGGAGGGCTAATATTTGTTTTTGATCACAGTATGGAAATGGTGCCTGGATGCCCAACTTCCCCTCCTCCATGAGGAAGCCCCCACCTCGATCTAAAGGCACGACACGCTTGGAAGACTACCTGGATACTCTACCCGCCATCAACATCACCTGCAATATCATTGGCACCCTCTACCTGCTTAGCGCCCCAACAGGAGATGCAGTGAGTGCTTTGAATGGGTGACAGAGCTGGTGGTAGCAGGGCGGAGATGTTTCCCCTGGGAGATTACAGCAGGCCCCCCACTCACTGAGCTGTATCACCATCCAAGCAGATGAGAGGGGTGGGATTGCTGCTGAAGTGTAGTGGTTAAGTGTGCGGACTCTAATCTGGGAGAACCGGGTTTGATTCCCCACTCCTCCACCTTGCACCTGCTGCTGTGTCCTTGTGTCAGTCACAAGCTTTGGCACAGCTGTCCTTGAAAAAGAGCCGTTTGTGTCAGAGCTCTCTCAGCCCCACCCACCTCACAGGGTGTCTGTTGTGGGGAGGGGAAGGGAAAGGAGTTTGTAAGCCGCTCTGAGACTCCAAGTGAAGGGCGGGGTATAACTCCAATCTCTTCTTCTTCTTCTTCTCTTCTGAAATTGGTGGCCCTGTTTGAGATTAAAATTAAAATTTTCCATTTTTAACTATCTTCATGTAAGGAGAGGCATGCCTTGTGGGGTTTTACTTTAAAAAATAATGTAAATTGACTGGTAATTACTATACTGAATGAACTGATTGCTTATTGCATGTAATGACTATATATACCTGCCGCTGAACTGCAGGCTGTGGAAGGTTGGTAGTTCAGCCGTTCGAGACCCGAGTGTGCCGCATGACGGAGTGAGCTCTCGTCTCTAGTTCCAGCTGCTGCCAACCTAGCAGTTCGAAAGCAAGAAATTGCAAGTAGATAAATAGGTACCACTTCGGTGGGAAGGTAACAGTGTTCCGTGTGCCTTGGTGTTTAGTCATGCCGGCCACATGACCACGGAAATGTCTTCGGACAGCGCTGGCTCTTCGGCTTTGAAACGGAGATGAGCACCGCAACCCTAGAGTCGGATTCGACTGGCTTTCGAGCAAGGGAACCTTTACTTTACCTTTAGGATACTATAATAGCACACAATGCACTTTATAAGATGGTAGTTAACAAATAGAACACTGTGGTCCAGAACACAGAGATCAGTTCCCCTGAAGAAAACAGCAACTTTGAAGGATGGAATGAATAGCACCACAGCCCCATTGCGCTCCCTCCCTACCCCAAACTCCACCCTCTTCAGGCTCTGCACCAAATCTCTGGGAATTGTGGAGTTGCCAACCCTAGCACATGCAGGTCTCATTGCTGGACAGACACAGGGTCACTGGGGGAAGCGTTCCTGCAGGGGTCCTGAAATGTATATTGTGACTCATATTTCTATCAATGCGTGCTTTCTCTTGTTCTTGCTCTTGTTAACAGGTAGCTCTGGGGAATTATCCCAGTGAGTACTTCACAGAGAAGGAGCCACAACAGTTCATCCAAGACTTCCAGGACCGCTTGAACGAGATCTCCAGGAAAATTGAGAAGAGGAACTGGTCTCTTCCCATTGGCTACCATCATCTGAACCCTCCTGAGATAGAGAACAGTGTCTCCATCTGAGTAGGCTCAGTCTGGAAGGGGGCCTTGCAAGGCGATGAGGAACATCTGCCAGTTTTTAACGTTCAGATTATGTACCCTTCCCATGCAGGGCCCGCTGCAGCTTCTAGTTGCTTCAGTCAATTTGCACAATTCTCTCCTTCCGCTTTAGCAGTGCCCACCTGTGTCCTGATTGGAATGTTTCACAAGCACAATCCTGATTTGCCTCTGACTTTCTTGGGAGAGGCGGCATATCTCTTTTCCAAAAGCACAAATCAATCTTGCTGTAGTCTTCGCACAAATCAATCTTGCTGTAGTCTTCGCACAAATCAATCTTGCTGTAGTCTTCCTTGAGCGTTTCCTTCGGAGAAGATGGGTAGTCAGTGTCCCAAATAAACAAATAATGGTAATTAAGGCTACATTTGTATTATTGGGTACTTCTGTGTTACCTTCAGCTTTTTGCTCAGGTTTGTGTATTCAGCCACCATTTTCTGAAGAATTTGGCCAAGATCTCTTATGCTGGGCTCAGGGGGAAGAGCTGCTTGGTCCCTGCTTTTCTTACATCTGACTAGTTTCAAAATGGCCGCCAGGTGCCTCATAGTTACGTGTTTGTGCCAGGGATTCTGGGTTGCCAAGAATCATTAATGATTTGGAGTTGGGAGTAAGCAGTGAGGTGGCTAAATTTGCGAATGACATGAAATTGTTCAGGGTGGTGAAAACCAGGGAGGACTGTGAGGGTCTCCAAAGGGATCTGTCGAGGGTGGGCAAGTGGGCGTCAATGTGGCAAATGGGGTTCAGTGTGGCCAAGTGCAAAGTGATGCACATTGGGGCAAAAAATCCTAACTCTAAATACATGGTGATGGGGTTCGAACTGGCAGAGACTGACCAAGAGAGATATATTGTAGTAGATAAATCCAGGGGTCTTTTCCTAGAAAAAGAGGTGCAGGGGCTCATTAGCATAACACATTAGCATATGCCACACCCCCTGACATCACCGGAAATGTGTCATAGGCCACACACCCCTGACATCCCCGGAAGTGTCAAAAGGCCATTCCCCTGAACATCACCGGAAGTGTGTCAGAAGGCAACACCCACTGCTCCAGCTCCACTGGACTGTTTTGGATTGTTAGCTATTGGGGGGGGGGGAGAACGTGCAGATCTGTCCTCGCAGAGGAGGGAGAGCTTGTGCCTGAATAAAACTTGGTCTTAAAGGTGCCACTGGACTGTTTTGGTTTACTGGCTATGGGAGGGGGGATGAGCAGATCTGCCCTCACAGAGAAGCCAGAGCTGGTCCCTGAATAAAACTTGGTCTTAAAGGTGCCACTGGACTGTTTTGGTTTACTGGCTGGGGGGGGGATGAGCAGATCTGCCCTCACAT